CTGCTGGCTCTGCCAGCTTCAGACGCTCTGAAAAAATGTCCAAAAGGTGCTGGAGTCCTGCTTGAGGATGTGTGTCCTATTGTGTCATTGGAATAACCGCAAACACGTGAATGTCCTCGTTTTAAACGGTGTGACCGGATTGTGTGAGACTGCTGAATCCTGCAGCTGTGACGGAGGGAGAGTCGGGGCGAAGCAGCTGGCACAGAAGGTGTTTTCCTCAGCCTGTGGTGGGACCAGCTGAACACATTGCCAAACTCTGCCCACTGTGCGTTGCGTTTTGAGCTGCTAAACTACTTGTGAAGCTATGACGAAAGCTGAGTAACTGGTTAGTGACAAAGCATGAGTAACTGTAACCCATCGTTATCCGTGTCTCGGCTGCCTCTACTGACGTTCGTGTCTCTGTGGACGTTCCGCAGTGTACGTGCTGTACAACTCGTAGTTTAAAACTGTTTGCACTTTGTTAATAAAATGAATGTTGAAATCTGGTGTGAAGTTTAGGTGTTTGTGTGGAAATCGGTGAAAAGGTAGAGCCTGTCTGTTGGGGTCATTAGTGCGCTGTTGCCAGGCTGGATGTGCTCCCTCCTGCAGCGTTGCTGCGCTGCCCGACTGCTTCTAGAACTTTTTCCTGCTCTACACTTGCCACTTTTTCCTTGAAGTATTCAATGAAAAGTGCTTAAATCCATCTGGGGTTTTTAAAGCTGTGTCAGCCAAAGCCAGACCAAATGCTTAAATCTCCTCTATTGCAAGAGGAATGCAGGAAGATCCCCAGTTTTTACCCACAATTTGGTTCTTTGTGCAGTAAGTTTGTGTATTTCTGGGCTAAAGGCAGGAGGAGCAGCTCCCAGCTGCCTGTGCACAGGTTGTTCCAGCTGCTGAGTGCTGGAGGTGGCCCAGGAGAAGCTGCACCCCATGATATAGTGCATGGTTAGTGTTTGCTGTTGCACAGGGCTGTGTGTTGATTATTACACACAGCTCAATTAGCAGTAATCAACACTCACAGATGCTTTACTCTTACTGAGAGGCCCAGGCTGAAGGAAATCATTTTGATGAGCCACATGATCAGTGTTGGAGTTAGTGTCCAACCTTTGCAGGGACAAGAAAGGAGCCAGAACCGTTGCACTTTGCTCACCTCATGGAGAACTAAATTATACGGAGCTGGTTTTTAAACAGGAGGTGGGGGAAGAGGCTTGGAAGACTTGTTTATCTCAGCCCTGGATAACTCTGCCGGTACCTGAACTGTGTCATTTTGTTACACGTCACACAAAGGAAATTTGCTTTCGCCACAGTAAGGACACTGAGTTCAGGTGGTGGTTGCTGTCCTTTTTAGCTCTTAAAGAAACAGACTAGGTGAAGTGTGGTTTAAATTACTGTTTTATTAAGATATTGGTAAAACTTCAACAGTTTTTCTGTATAAACAGCTTTCATAAATAAAATATGGATGACTATACATGGTTACAACTAAACTCATACGTGAACTGTAGAACAAGATTGCAAATGGAAAGTCCCAACGCAGTTAAATGATTAGCTTTGATTTATTCACTTCATAAAGAACATGTTAGTTTCATGAACAAGGTAATACAGACGGGACAACAGGAGCACCCAGTGTAGCAACTGACAACACGCCGGGCTATCTACACAGTACTGGTGCAGGAGTAGAAGTACTCGGGGTGATCTCAGCCAGCTTCCCCTGTTCCTGTTCCGAGATGTCTTCTAGAGTGAAGGTGAGAAAAAAACTAACGGAGTGCAGGTGTGACACACAGTAGTTGTACTAGACCCTAAGAGGGGCGTTTGTTTTCTCTTTAGCCTTAATGCTGGCAAGTACAGTGCGGTTGCCTGATGAGCGAGGACTGGTGAAGGACAGGAACGTTTAAGTCAGAGGTGGTGTTAATGCTTCATTATTACTTATTGCACATGATACAAGGGTAGAAAGTCTTGTTCCTGTTGCAAAGAGGATATGACTTAAAGAAAGATTGCCCTAAATTACAGGCATGAACAAAGCTGCAGTATCCCCTTCGATGGCTTTGTTTATGTGACTAGTGCCGAGCGAATAAATTGTGCTAAAACAGCCCCTAATTTAGACCAATCTTTCTCATTTTTTTTTTTTCCTGCAGAACATTGCCAGGGTCGGGAGGATTTAGTGAGGAGATAGTGGACCTGAACTACAGCAGCCATGTCTCTAAACACAGAACTTGTTCTGCCTCATCTATCTGCCCATAGGACAACGCGTTTCTCACTGACACACAGTGTTCCAAAAACAGAGCGGAGTTGCTGTGACGATGTACCACTATAAATGTGGCGTAAGTTAAAGTCTGCTTTGACATTGTCCTTCAGTGTTGCAATGCAATCTAACTCAAATACGGAATGGTTTTAACTTGCAAGGACAATTGATGGCACTTCTAGGTACAGAAAAGTTATATACATGCGTTTCCACCCACCGTTAGTGCAAATTGCAATGGGTTAACAGCTCCCTGGTCTGGTGCTATACTGCTCTCTGCAACGCAGACATTCCTCAGAGTTGCACATGAAAAAGTGTACACAGGAAACTACCAGAGTGGGGATCGAGCGAATCCCACTAATACTCACAGTGAAGAGCTCACGAGCGAGTTTTGAGCAGCTTCGGGCGAACAGCCTGCAGCCCGTGTCTCAAAACCAACACCGTTTAAACCAAAACAAAAATGTTTTCGCTACCTACCTCCTAGTTCTGCAACCACGGTTAGCACGTGAACTGAAACTGATGCGGGTTGTGTTAATGCGGAAAAGGGATACTTCAGCTCTTTATTGGAAAGATTCGTTATACAAACTTACACCACCACTAAGATACACGATAAAAATACAAAACACAGGTCACAGACTGAATCTCAGTATCAACAGTTAATAAATACAGTTAGATACTTTTATATTAGCCTAATATTTTAACACTGTCACCAGATAGACAATCAAAGTACGAGATACAGAACACTTAGATACCATTAGAGAGGGATTATTGCTTACGTTAGCAAGCAGCAAATAAGGGCACAGGATTTTGAACTGAAGAGAACTACTTCCTATCACCAGTGGCATTAAGAGAAAACACTGCATTTCACGAAGCACTGCTTTTTTGTCTAGTGTGTAGAATCAAGAGCAGCATATATCGGACCAATAACCACTACTTTTAATATTATAGAACTTTAAAGGACTTACCTTACAAATGGTTCCTATCTACTCTATAAATACGTGTTTAGTGAAGAAATGAACACTTGCTATCTATACAATGGTTTTACCTGACCACACTGGAACTACGATGGTAGATTGTTTTTCTCCTAGCAAGATACATGGTATGAGTCGCAGAATTATCATTTATGAATCCACACCTAAAAAGCTAGATCCTTCCCAAACCAGCACACATGCAGTCCAGTGCTCTTCAATTGCTCCTGCAGACTGGGAAGAAGTTCATCATCCATCACGTAGCTCATTCTGATCTACTCAGACGAAGAATTGCACTTACACCACCCTTCTCCCCGAAGCACGGCAGGCAGCTGTAAGATGGACCTTCACTGCGTCATTATTACTGTGAATAATCTAAAACGAAGGCACCGCAGAGATGCCCCAGAGTTGCATATTTTACCGTTTCACGGTTTCCCAAATTTCCTCAGTAAATCTGACTTGGAACACATGCTGCAGCTAAAGAGAACGTTGACAACAGCTAAGGCTTAATAAGATGACAGATAAGAGCCAATGATCCCGTAAGATAAATAAAAAAGTCTGAAGAAGATCAAAGGAATCTAAAGCCACACTCCAACTCCTGGTTACTCACAAAGCCTTTTGCTGTTCATCAGATTGCTTTTAAAATAGTGCATCAAAGGTAGAAGCAGCGGGAATTGGCAGAATTCAAACCTTGCCATCTCATCATGCTGAATAATCTGACTACTTAATACTAAAATACTTTGCAAATTCCTGCTAAATACTGTTCTTAAATCGTTACTGCTAAAATGATACAAATTCTATGATAAACGCCTATGAAGACTGACTTTATTCATACTCTTCCAAATGCCTTATTGTAACAAAGAATAGATGTGGATGTAGCAGAGCTGATGGGAATCGTCTGCGTACGTACGTCCCAACGAACCGCTCCCCTGTGGGTTTAACGTCACCGCGAGAGTCGGCAGAGCTGGTGGGTGCTGCTTGTTTCCCAGTCCGATAAATAACGCTCTGCTTATGAAAATCAGGGCAACTGACATTCCTCACTTTCCTTTCTGAGCCCGGGTTTGACCAAAGCAGAGCTCTGGCTTGTCAGTGAATTTTACCCGCTCCCCTGAGGCCCAACCACAGCCCCTGCCCATCTGCACCCGCTGCCTCCCCGGCGGCCCGGCATCCCTTCCTACACGTGCTGGAAAATGCCAAACTGCAGCAATACTGCTCCCCATAGA